CAACTTACTCACCTATTCACTTAAACACATCACCACCAACGAGGCACAAATTATGCATTCAATATCTTTATAGGTTGTATGGATCACATATAAACGTTATCTATATTCACATATTAACGTTATCTTGCGTTGCGTTGGTGAAGTACAGGAGATAGGTAGGATAAATGACACCTTGAAGTTTTAGAGTTAATTATATATTATAGATTAGTCATCTTAGGGTAATTTACGTTCTGATTTACTGGTCCATTTATATGTTGCTTTTCTCCACGGAACATGTTTTTAGCGAAGAAAACAAATATTTATTGAAGACGTAGAACTCGTAACGAATTATAAAACTATTGACGTACATTTACGAGAGATCGTCTTGCTATACTGACATCTTTGACTTTCGTATTCTTTAATGGTCAATTTACCGCGTGAATGACTCCCGCGACCATAATGTAGCACACAAAAACTTCTACTTTATTCAGGCTATTCTATTCTGTAGTCACAGGTAGGTGAATGCGACTTGTAAAATCCGATAAGCTTTATTTAATATCTAATTTTCTTTATGTGAGTGTCAGATATATGAAAATGCGTTTAGTCAATGATTGCTTATCCTCCGCCCTTAGGTTGGATCTCTGGATCTAACTTTCTCGCATCTCTTGCGCAACTATCGTTTCATAGTCACCAGAGGCGTGTCCTCTTCGTGTTCAAACTATTAATATATCTATTGATTGTTTACGTGAAAGCGGATCGACAACACAACATATTCTGACATTTATGGTCGTGGTATTGCTGTCTTCAGTAAATTTTACAACATCAAAAATACCGTTTAAGCGCTTAACAAAAGTGTTACCATGTATTGTCATCAAATAAGTTGAACCGTCGGAATGGAAATAGATTTAATACGACTATTTGATTTCGTTTGCGAGTTTATGTAAAGTTAACCCTGTAACCTTTTTATCGAAAAATCAGCCTAATTCCAGCAGCCTCCTTTTTCTTAGCGGAGCCAATGCTATGTTTAATGATCATACATCATTCGCAGGCGCATTATACAACTACTTATAGAGGTATGTTTCCGTACCTGAAGTCATACGGCATTTACCTTGCAAATTTATGACAATTTAACTATAGGAGTTGACCATCTTGTCAATGCATAAGACGGTCTACCCAAACAAATAATCTCTTTTATATGTGTGTACTCTTTCATAGGGTGCGCCTGATCGTAAAGTTAACGATGAGCAATCGTTGATTACCAATGGATAAATTTCTCGTATATAACAAGTCTGCCACTAAACTTGGATCGGATGTGTCCACTCAGGGCCGGTTAAAACTCTCGTCGCTGACAGTAGATACCTTCACAAACTATAGCTGCTACAATGGAACTCAAAATTTTTGAATCCATGTTTATGATAAAGAATCAGTATAGTATTAACTAGGAATTAAAACAAATGGACCGAGTAATTAAGCTTTTTTACTTCATCGCCAAGGTGTTTGAAAGGCTTTCAGGTATTTCCCTATCCTCCAAGTCATGTACGTGATGAACTTGAATGATGTGCCCTTTGACTGCTTAGAAAAACAACCCGCTTTCTTGGCTGTTCCTCTGATGGCGTCATTCTTTAGAGCTCTTATTTCTGGTGCTAAACTAGCCTGAAGGACTCCACGGTCGATATCCAAAGTAGCCGATTACATACATATCTTTTAATCACATACTCTTGCTTTTTTGTTTAACGTATTGTGGCTTTTAGAACTCGAATTTAAAACACGATTTGACTGAGTTCTGATCATTAAAATAAATTAGAACTTAATCAGTTCATGTGCTACTTGTATTCGAAAATATTTTTCAGCTTTATAAATACCTTCTTTTTACCTATAGCTAGATACTTTCATGGCTTCTACCGTTTACCAATTACCCTTGTCACTTCCTATAAAGCTTAAAGAAATCGAATCCATAGTATTTCTTAGCGCTACAGTCTATGATCGTTTGCCTTTCTACGATATAAACGGATATGAGGCTATCCTTTTCCTGCTTCAAAAATACAAATTGAAAGCTGATTTTTTTCATCTACCATGTCACGAGATAAATTATTTGGCGATTTGAAGATAATGTTTTGAGGCTTTGTGCGCAAGTAATTTGGTCAATCTTTTTAAACTACATGGCCATAATAGAATGTGTAATGCGTAAAATCTTAATTTGATTAGCCATACGTGTATTATAGGTGCGCATTCTTCCTCCTAACTCGTGGTAATATAAATTTTATCGGTGATGATTATACGCTTAGCGATAAAACATGAATGAAAAGCTGCAAAAGCGTATTTTGAAGCATCTATCGAAATTCGTAATTTAAGGCACGTACGGTTGTATTTATGGTTGGTGAGCGTCCTTCGGAACCTATTTTGACGGCCGATTACCATTCATAAATAGGTTCGATAAATCATGAAGTAAAGACTGTATTTGAAAGAAGCATTTAAATCAGAGCATTTGCATATTTGTTTCTGATATCATTATGATCGAATAAGTGTAGGACACTATGCGATATGCCGCCGGTGATAGGCACTTCAAGAATTCCCCATTCTTAATATTACGATCGAGGGGGTTATCATGATTGTTCAACGACACGATATAACGTCGTACTGTATAATGTAAGCGCGATAGAGTTTTATATCGTATCGGATCAGAGACCATGAGCTGACACATTCTTCATCGTCAAGCGAACCGAAGCTTACCATAATACCGTTTACAAACCCAACTATAATATAAAATTTCAATTTCAAGGTATAACTGACAGGTACGAGATCTGCCGTTTCAAAATATGGACATGAGATGGTTTATGCTAAAAACGGATAAGGGTCAAAGTGCAAGAGAATGGATTGATTCATCATTATGATAATTATTAAGAACGGGGCACATGCTCTCGGATTGCTATACATGATAATGACGACGCTTATTTGAGAAATTGTAGAACAGCTGTCATCTGTATAATTGTTTCTTTATACTTTTGGATCATGTACCTGTTATTTTATATTCATCGCAGTTTAAACAAAGGATTTACTTCATTGTTGTGCTGAAAGACGCGTTAATTGAAACACGTGTGCTTGGTATTTTCCCACAAATCACGGAAACGTTCTTTCTATCATCTCATTAACAAGGAAGAGGCTTATGCCATATCAAACATAAGTATGCATCGCGATTGTACGTAAAGCAGACACGATATCGTGGAAGAGATACATGATAGCTTACTATGGACACTCGAGCGGTGATATTCGTTGATATGACACCGCAGTGCATGGATTCGTACACCCTGTGGTGTACATGTTATGAAAATTAGTAGCTACAAGCACGTTAGCTAAAGCGGATACGTATACGGTGGGGCATCGAATTACACTGACCAGGTCTTACTCCAGTGGGAAATAAATCATTACATACACGTACTGAGATAAGATTATATAATCGCTATAAAACCTAATCAACATATGTTATCATTATTCGCCTTGAGGGAAGTGTGAATCAGTATGACAACAAATGAGCACTTTATTCCATTTACCTCTCTATATTCTTTATTTTTAGGCCTGGTTATTGTTGAGTCTACGTTTATTAGCTCCCTAATGTGCGTCAATGTATTGCTTACGAACAATTTGAATTCAAAAGTCGTCGTATGTTGAATTGGTTGACGCTTTCATGTATTTTAGTCGGAGAACTGGATGGCCGTTTTGAGCTTAGGCCTTCATTTAGCAAGGTGGAGCTGTCGTAGCTCCTCTACATACACCATTGAACAGTAAATTGGTTGAAAAGCATGAATCTAGTGAATATGGGTACTTCTGAGAGCTCGTAGATTGTGAAGTCATCCGCGGACATGGCTATCCTCCCGATATGAGAGAAGCGTGACTTCTTGGTGCGCTGGTTGCTAGTATGATAAAGCGATATAGTGTGATTGGGCACTCTCTGTATGAACGACACAGTACATGCTACCTACACTGACGTAGGGTAGGTAAGTGTCTTAAAACGTACGTGCAGAGGAAGATAAAGTCTTCCAAACGAACACGCTCAGTCAAAGTAAAACAGTAAAATGGAATTAATGTGGCAAAAATCTACTTATAATATCTTATTTGATCGGACTTTCATTACAAATTAACAAATGTCAAATGAAGTCGCTCATATGCCCTCCCTGGTTCATGTCTTGCAGAGATTGGTGTTTAAGTTGGATCACATGATGGCCTGTATTCCCATTACGCGAAGCTGTGCTGCATCTCACCGTCATAGGCGATTTTTCCTTCAACATTTACTTATTTAAATATATGTTATAGAAGTATCATCATCATGACGATATATATAATGACCAATCTGGCGTCAATGACAAGCAACGGGCTCACCATGTTACATGCAAACTCAAGAGTATAAGTACACTTCTTAAGCGCAGCCCTGCAACTTCCAATAGTGCAACAGCTTACGCTAATACCAATTCACGCCGTACGATGATCTAAAGTATGGATTGAATGGTAAGTGGCAAAGCTATTGGAAGCGAAGAAATTGACGATTTGTGAACCATGTCATTTAAAGGAAACTTGTGAGATGTACTAACGTGCTTTGATGGCGCTATGTAACATTCTCGATTAATATCATTTTCAAACCCAGGCAGACACTGCGGCAGCATATCTCCTGTTCGATGGACAGCAGTGAACGTAAGAGATCTCTGTATATTATTACTTAGTTCACTGCAATATAATCGTAATATTACGATCGCTTACAGAAGTATGGGTTTGCATCCTTCTGTGGCAAGTGTCGTAGGCCACACATCTTGGCTAAGGTGCGTTCATTTATTTACGAGATATTTGATATGCTAGTAGTAGTTCGTACGTCTATTCTACAAAAAAAACGTCCGAAACCATGCAGGTGATGTGTTCTTGACAAAGCATAAGACTCAAAACACAAGAACGATGTACAAAAGCAAAAAATTGTATTATTAAAAAATATAAGCTGTGATGTAGCGGCCTGGTTCACCAAACCAACAAAGGAGCCTTCATCCAAACATGAGATTCATCCAGAAATACGCCTTCTTGTAATCGTCAACAAACGCTTTTACCAGTTTCCCGTAACCGTTTCCACCAAAATAATTCGCCGCCGGCAACCAACCCTTCTCCAAGTCATTAGGATCAATACCCGCACCCTTGAACCGAACGAACTGTTGTTTTTGAGCGTACAGAGCAAGTTTACGCGTCTCCGTAGATTCCTTCGCAACTTGAACCACGATTGCAGCATCGGCAATTGGCAGTATGCGAAGTTTGTCAGCGATGTCCTTTTTCAGCTGTGAGGTAACCCGCTTTTTGGCTGTTGGCTTGAACAACCATTCAGAGTAATCCCATAGTCGAACGACCTTTGTGTAAAAGGCCAATTTGAGTGCATACCTCTCGTACTTTTGACTCTCCCAGTCACTATTTGCATCATACCGAACTCTCCTTACTCTATCATGCTCTTCGGGTAGCGCTGCTTCAACTTTACGAACCCATGCTTCTGTCCATTCTCCCTTTCTCGCATGTTGAAGCACGGCTGCCGCTCTTGGCGAGTCCAGTTCGGCCAGTACGCTGGCGATTTGGAGGACCGGAGGACCGTTCGGTTTTAGGGTTGAGTGGCGTGAAAACAGGCAGAAGGCCATCCAACTCACTACCCTTTCGTCCGTTCCGTCGAAGAAGAATGGAGCTGGTATTTCACGGACACCTTCACGCTTGAAGATATGGCCGATTTTGGCGGTGATACTAGCTAGAGAAAACCTCTCGATGGCGGTGATACTAGCTGGAGAAACCGTCTCGAACTTGGCTGGACCCAAGCCATGGAGGAAAGGGACAACGTCGACACATATCCACCCTCGATCTTCTTGCTCGGCGTTGGTGGTAGCTTGGGGACTCAGTGCCGTCTTCACCGTCTCGTGATCTAGTGCATGAGCACCAGGTGCCGATGCCTCTCGTTCGGAGCCCCCGCAAGCGTCATAGAACATGGCAGAGAGCACGCCACTAACGATGAGCGCACGAAGGTATAGGAGCTTCATGACGGAGTGACAGAGCGGCTAAAGGAGACTTCGCAGTAGGGCGCAAATTGTTAAATGAAATTGGTTGGCGGGATGATTCAGTGGCACAGCGTGATTCAATCTTTGTCACTTGATAAGCGCTGTCCAGACCTGATATTTTGTGCTACAGTGGCAGGAAATTCGGTACCCGTCGTCGGACAGTAGTCGTGCGACGTTCGGACCAGTTGGCGCAAGCCTGCAGTAATCAAATCGATTCACCTTTATTCTAGTATGAGCTGCCAATAAAGCTCGTGGATGCAGACATGTTGTGGACAAACTTGTGCGGTGGCAGCATACGTGCAGCTGGTCGGATCAGAATACTGTCGTTAACGGCTTCGTCTGTTTGCACTTGAAAATCAGCTGCTCCTCCTTTACGTTTTCAATATACGTTGCACCGTCCATGTGAGTACATGCAGTCGAAAACATGGATCCATTTACTACTGTCGGCCAGCCGTCACAGCCACACACTGTGCACAATTTGTGGCGCCACACAGCTCAACCATCGCTTTTCTTTTGTGCCGAGGTCTTCGAGCTACCGAGACGTACGTGTCCAGCGATAAGACATGGCGTCAGGCTGTGGCGGTTTGTGCCATCAACTAAGCGGCCGTTCGTCATACCAATCGAGCCAGATCGTGCGGGTAGTGCTCCAGTTTACGTACCAGGCTACTTATAGGTCCCTACCACCCCTTAAGCCATCTTGACTGTGCGTGAAATGTTTTTGTGTGCGACATTCCAAATCGACAAGTTGCTCTTTGGCCATAAGCGGCATCGTGTTATCGAAAGCCGAAGCGTATTGCAGAGAAGGTTCTGTGAGGTGAGAGTCCAACGGGATGCTGGTGCTCTACAGGTGGACTCCTTGTATCAGCGAGTTAGAGATCTTGTCTCGCCAACAAGCGATGGCTACGACGGGACTCAATAGACACAGCCAACAGCTATGCAGAAAATGTTCATTGAGGAAAGACACCGCGCGTCAATATTTGAGAGATGATCGGTAGAAGGCACGACCTGTCGATGTGGATTGTTGGAGAACGCCGGGTCGCAGAATCGAGAGACTAAAGAACGCGGGCAGCATCCAGTTCAATGATTTGCACTTAACACGGCTCTGGCACATTGAATCGAGCAGAACTTGAGCGACGATAGAGAGCGGGCAGCCCCGAGCTAAATGATTTGCATTGGAAGCGGCTGGGGCCCATTCAATCGAGCTGTCTGATCAAAAAGTGCATGCCCTTCCATTGAGTGTGGATTTATGAACGCTGGCGGCAGCGACCCAGTCTGTTGTAAGCAGGAACGATTTTGAGCGCGCATAGATACATCATAAAAAGCGCAGCTTTGACGGAAGAATTGTCGAAGTCGTTGCCAAATATTCGGCAACATATCAATAAAGAGATGAGTGTGCAGCGGTTATGTGTGCTCGCACAGTCCGTGGCGAACATGACCGAAGAAACGTTTATCTGGTCCCGGCTGTTCGTCTGAGCGCATAGCTCATATAATAGGGATATCGCGCAGCCGTGACGTTCGCAGAATTTACCGGCGTCACCGCTGTTTTTACCTGACCAGGTCACTTTCGCACTTTGTATCACTTTGGGGTCAGCCCAGAAAAGCTGTACAGCAATATGTTGATGGACAGGCGTGTCATTTGCTTCTACAGCTATTGGGAATCTTTTCAGCGAGGTTTATGCCGGATCAGCATCATCTGTCTGGTGTCCATCAACAATATCGTCGACCACCCACCGCTTTCTCAGTTTATTCTGCGCTTTTAGTAGCAGTAAATGCGTTGTGCAGGCGTAAGCGGTGTATCCATGTTGGCTGTTAGAGGTGTCGGCAGCAGGCGCTAGTGTGCGCACGAGCACGACTATGCCCGATACTGCTGGAGATGGAAATTCTATCGACGTTCAAGCGCGCGTCCTGCTCGCGTACCCGTCAGCGTTTCGAGTGGATGATAGGTACCACCACAAGCAGCTGTTGTGGCAAAGAAATTTAAATGCTTTCACAAGAATTTTTTAGGTTTGCTTCTGCCAGCTTCAATCAATTAGCTGAGCACATTTGTAGGGTCCTGTGCGATCGATTTGATCTTTCCTTTTTACTTTATCAGTCTACAATTTGCCCTTTGTGAGTCAAAATATCGACAGGTACGTACTCACCCTCATGCCAACATCGCAATTTCCTTCAAGTCGACCACGGCCGATGTGGCTCGCATGTCGTTGCTGCTGACTGTGATGGGCCGATATCGTGCTTTTCAGCTGCTTCCCAATCACGCCGAAACGCGACACGAAGTCCAGGCCTCATGAAAAGGTCCGGCTTGTCTGATATGGGGACGATGGCGTTGGGCGAGATGTA